ATGAAGAAGACCCTGACTACTGACAAGGTGAAATGACTAAAAGCTACAAACACTCGCACTCCAACACACAAACACGTTAGCTAATTATCCTCCGAGAGACGGCGCTGCTTCTGCACAGCAGAGCCGGCGTGGACTTTCCGTTCGTTTATGGCCAGGAGATGTTACGTTTTCAGAAGCCAGTCCGGCCGTCCTGTGCCAGAAACAGCGCTCTTTATTAAAATGATCGAAACGCTGAGAGTGCAGGCCGCTCGCACTCTGAGCTGGTCATCAAATCATGGTGGTACGACACAGTCAGTCTGAGCACAAGGCCGAGTCGTGCTGCTTACATGAGGGTGATGCAAACAGCACTCAGGGCCTTACGCTCATGGTACAACTCATAGGAAACTGTAATATCTCACGCTCAGATGCGTGTCCAAAAACAATAACTTTGTCTTTCTGTTTGTGGTTCATAACGTCAACAGGGAGCCTCTCTACCCGTTGAGGCAATCTTAAGACTTCAACTTATCGTTGAGGCACAGAGTTTAGTTTCTCGGTTTGACAGGGTATTCGTTCCTGGTGAAACTTTCTCCTGTTAAAACATTTGTTCTTTTGTTTCAGTTAATATTGTCATAAATAACAATGCATACATTTCCCATAACCGTTAAATTCGGCTATATACATTATGTACATGTCACAGAAATGTGGTTCAAAAATCCTAAGTCTTAATTGTCCAATATGGCACATTTTATAACAACTTTAGACTTTAGTCTAGTTTGGCATAAATTAATGTCAAGTTTGGTACAAAAATAGTTCATATTTACAAGAACAGAAATCCAGATCTTTATCAAGTATTATTGTTGCTAATTCACTAAATAAAAAGGTTCTGGATGAGGGAAACGGGGGATATAAATTAACGTTTTTTATATTTTTTTACATGGACCGAATGTGAACGTTGACAGTTGCCGAGTCAGAGCCGAACTCGTTGGACAGTCGGAGGGTATACGCTCCGGCGTCGGCCTCCTTCACCGCAGAGATCGTAAAGATGGAGAGGTCAGCGGTGTTCTCCACGTGGTACCTCTCATCCCCGTTGGGCAGGGTCCGATTTGAGCGGACCCACTGGACAGAGGGAGCCGGGTCTCCGGAGAACACCCCTGCCACAGTCAGGGACTTCCCCGGTTCGGCGCTGACGCTCTCTGGAAGAGCCTCGATCTTTGGTGGAACGCCTGTTAACGAAGAGAACGACGTCAGTGAAGAAGGTTTTGCATTGTTGAAAAAATACATGACGAGGATATATGATTACGTAACAGTCAGAGAATGAAGCCAAAACCCAGACAGATGGTGTCATTGTGGTTTGGACATCTTTTAAAATCCCTACTGAAGTTTTGTCTGGTGTCCAATAAAGTAGATATTTATCCTTTTTTTCCCCACCAGACAAAGATGGCCACTGGAAGAAGAACAAGAGCATCTACTAGCTCATTTTCTACCCAAACATAAAGGTCTTATCTGTCATTTACCAACATGTATGAACCATGTATCTCCAATTTTTGGGTGATCTTTAGACTTTTCTGTATTTCATGATGACCCCTCAAGGAGAAGTATGGACGTAGTTACACAAATAAAGTAAGTGGCCAGCGCCGCCTTTTGCCTCGTATCTGAAATGAATTAGCTGGACAGCTCGCTAAATGAACAGTGAGTTAACACGTGAGTGTTTATTGGAACAATCGACTTGTGTCTGATGACTGACTACAGACCATGCTGCATCTTTTCTGAAGCAGTTTATACCCTAGAAGACTAGGGAAAGCTACTCTGCTAATGTAATAGCTTCTTTCATTTTGGACTCTCCGGGCCTCCGTTCCCTCAAAGTTCATTGCTGTCAGGGCAGCTTGTATGGTTCACTGGACCAATTTTCAATTTTCCACGAGCAAATCCACTCCCCTCAATCGAAATTAGAGCACCTGTCGAGGACGAGCACGTGATAACAGCTTTTCTGTGGAATCTTGCGGTAAAGAAGAAGCTTTCAGGGTTTCTGAAAACCACCGCTGTTTTACTGTTCCATGTTCACATCTTTTTGATAAAATCTGTGGCTTTTTTTTCATAACTGGAACGTGATCATAAATCATCATCAAGTCTCAAATGTCAACTCATGATGACATGACTTCATCACATTTGTCTTTACATAGATGACAGTTACTCACAAAGATGCTCAAACCATTCAAGGCCCACCTCCTGTTTTTCTGAATTTAAGTGCAAGTTCACTTTGACAGATTCAGGCAACATGTAAAATGCATCTCACCTCTTTTAACCCCCGTGGTGAGGGCCTTCAGCGAGGAGGAGGCCTCGACATGCGAGTGGGAAGACATTTCCATCATTTGGCTGCTGGAGCTCATGGAAACCACTGACTCAGCCATCATGGCAGACATGCTAGTTGCAGACGTGCTCTCAAACGCAAACTCGGCAGCAGCAGAGCGGGAGCTGCTGCTGTAACTGCCGGCCCGCATGGAAGCTGCTTCCATACGAACTGATGAGGCCGATAAACTTTTCTGCATGCTGGCAGCTGTATCAGTAGAAGCTCTTTGCTCCACAATAACCATTTTGGTTGTTTCCTCAGCAAGAGCTACGAGAATGCAAATGACAAGCACATGGCTCATATCACAAAGTGCACAAGTACAGTATAGTGCACGCATACACTCAGTGTAAGCTGGGGTGCTCAAGTGCCTTGGATTTGAATGTTGAATTTAAGATGTTTGCTTTGGTGCAATCCAAGTCTCGTTTTACTAAATATTTTAATCTCCAAGCCAATTAAATACACTCAGTTGACATGCAGTGGATACTTACTGAGGACATTGAGGGAGGATGTCGCAGAGCACTGTCCAAACTGATTTTTGGCTTTTATCGTGTATTTCCCACTGTCTGCGACTGTGGCTTCACATATCTCCAGAGTGAACACATTGTTCGAGCGGCTCAGTCTAATGTTTGATGTGACAGATATCTGCCAAGAGAAGAGAGACAGTGTCGTGTTACGTTAGCTGCACAGGTTTCTGTTGTTTGACCTTCTGGGGAAAGCTACTCACAGTCGTGTTGTCTTTCAACCACTCCACTTCAGGAGAAGGCTCTCCTGCAATTTCACATGTGAATTTAACATTTTGTCCCTCGTTCACATTCTGGGATCTGGGCTGCACCAAGAAGTGGGGAGCGTCTGACCGCCGTTTCATAACTCCCTCAGAGATTTCAGCTTTTGTTTTGGAGCCTAAAACAGACATAAATGTAAGACTTTATGGTAGAAACTGAACATTTTAGCAGCAGGTTAATGAAGAACAGTAATTGCTTCCAGAAGCCGGCGTTATCTTACCCTGTACAGTGACTGAGCAGGTTGTGGACACTGCTCCAGCACTGTTGGTAGCAGTGCACTTGTACACCCCGCTATCAGAGACCTCCGATTCATAGATCTCAAGATAAGCTGAGCCATACTCCTCAAAGATCTCATACTTCCCACCCTGAGACAGAGCCTGCCAATCAGGAAAATACGATTTATTTATTTAATAACCAACCAATGTGTCACATTTTCCATAACTTTTTTATCTGTAAATAATTTAATTGAAAAGTAGAATTGTTGCAGTGAGTGTGTTACCTTTCCATCCTTCATCCATGAGATTGCAGCTTTGGGCTCTCCTGTCAACTTCACTGAGAGCTTGACGACAGCGTCAGAGGCGGCAGTGACGTCGCTCAGCCCAACAGAGAAGGACGGCTTCTTTTCAAGAGTTGGAGACATCACTCTTTTTGGTGACTTGATTGGAGAAGTCACCCGTTCCTTCTCAGATGGAGTTGGGGATTTGGGAGTAGGGGACTTGGGTGTTGGGGATTTTGGTGTTGGAGATTTTGGGGAGACTGGAGATTTGACTCTCTGAGGTGACTTGATTGGCTCAGGGGACTTGACTCTCTGAGGAGATTTGACTGGTTCAGGGGACTTGGCAAGAGGGGACTTTGCCTCCGGAGAGGTGATTCTAGGGGGGGCGACTACTTTCTCCTTGGACTCAGACTTGCGGATGGTCAGAGTGAAATGGGCCTCTTGTTTACCTCCAGCGTTTTCCACCAGCACAGTGTAGCTGCCTTCATCCGACATCTCAACAGCAGAGATCTCAAAGTGGGAGTTGTGTTGAGTAGAGACAACGTGGTGACGGGCAGAGGAACTAACAACTTCGCCTTCGTGCAGCCAGGTGATAGAAGGTGCTGGTTCGCCCTCCACATCACAGTCAAATCTGGCGAGGTTTCCCTCCTCTACAGTCAGGGACTGTGGCTTGGTCAGGAACTTGGCATGAACACCAGGCTTCTCCCTTGGCTTCTCGACAACAGCAGTGGACTCTTTCACAGTTTCAGTCACAGTTTCCTTCACTGTCGTTTTAGAGGAGGACACGTGGTATACCTCAGTTCTGGTCATCTCTGGCAGATGTGAGGATGGAGGCTCCTCGTCTTTGCGGACTGAAGAGAAGGCAGCGTATTCTGCTTCTGCTACATCCAGTGTGGCGTAGTCCGAAGTCTCTCCTTTGCCGTTCCTGCAGACCACACGGTAAGTGCCGGAGTCTTCAGTCACACAGTTGATGATCTGGAGAGTCAGAACTCCACTGATGTTAGTCATGTGGTATTTGCTGCTCTGATTAATCTCTTTTCCGTTGTGGAACCACTTGACCTCAGGTTCTGGTTTGGCTTGGACATTCAGGGTGAACCTTGTGTTGGAGCCGTAGGGTACGCGATGAGACCGCATCCTGATGGTAATACGTGGGGCGTGGTCAAGGCTGAAGGGAGCCTGTGTCACCACTTCAAACTTCCTCTCCACTGATCTTCTCTCTGATCTCAGAGCCTGCTTTCTCTCCTCATACCTGGACGCAAAGTCAACTTTTGGAAGGGTCACTTCGGCCTTAACCGCCTTTCCTGAAGTCGGAGACCTCTCAGGTTCGGGCATTGACAGCTTCTTGATGGGTTTAAGAATATATTCTGAGGTAAAACCTGTTATGTGCTCAGACTCAATGTCCTCAGAGAAGGTCGCAACGGTGACAGTTTCCTTTTTCGAAGTACGCGTCTTCTCCTCAAACTCCATGCGTTTGAGTTCACTCTTGTAAGAGGAGATTCTCTGAGCAGTTTTGGGTGGGCGCAGCAGCTCCTGATCTTCCCTCTCTTCATACACCTTCTGCTTCTGTCTTGGAGCTTTGTGTGTGACTTTGTCGTGACGCTGGCGGAGATCAACAAAACTTGGGCCAGCCTCATATTTAGATGGAACTCTGTAGGAGTCATATCTGCGGATCTCTTCTCCCTCTTCTTCTTCACTGTAAACTCTTTTAGGAGATGAGGGACGCAGGGCAGACAGCTCAAAGCGAACTGGGCTGAGGCTAGGTGGAGACGCAGAGTAGCCAAGCTCCAGCTCTTCCTCCAGACGAAGCCTCTCCTCCTCAGTTTTCTTCATGGACAGGTATTCACCCACAGGCAGCAGCAGCTCCTCATCTGACAGGTCACCCAGGGACCTCCTCCTGATCCTGTGGTAGGCATCCATCTCAGGGGAAGGAGTGCGGTGCCTTGCAGGCCTCACGGTCTCCAAGTCATCTTGAGTCAAGGCCGAGATGCGCCACTTAGGCTTATACTGGTCCTTGATCCTGATGGGCACCTCATAGAACTGCTCCCACCTGGAGAGGCGAATGCGCTTCATCCTCTTCTGCTTGATTTTGTCCATAGGCTCAGGGAACTCATACTGATCTCGCAGCTTCTTGTACCATTTCATGTCAGAGAGTGGCTTGAAGTGTTTTATTTCCACATCCTCCTCAAGAACAGCTGGGTTAATGACACGAGGAGTGGGGACGACATAGGGCATACGCAGCCTCTTCTCATCTGCCCGCTTCTTCTTCTCCTCTTGTTCTTTCTGTATCTCAGCCTCAGTCTTCTCACCCTTCTTAGTTGTCACAGCAGGTTTGAACATGGTGGCTGCCTCCCTGACAGCTTGTACTGCTGCAGGTGGTAGAGGTGTAACAACAGTGCCAGACATAATCTGAGACAGCCTCACCTTTTTGTCTAATTCCTGCTTCTGAGCTAGCTGTTCCTTCTCCTTTGCACTGGGCTCATATTCTTTCTTTACATGAGTAACATGTTCTACTTTGAGCGTGGCCTGGCAACTGGCAGATCCAGCCGAATTGGTTGCAGTAACTCTGTACACACCAGAGTCCTCGGGGAGAGTGTCTTTCACATGAAGGATGAAGTAATCCAGACCCTCATGGACAACCTCAATAGATGGTCCAAAGGCCAAAGGCATGCCATCCTTCTCCCACTTCAGTGTGGGATGGCCGGATACTCGAATCTCAAAGCGCACGTTCTGGCCCTCCCTGCACTCGACATTTGCGAGCAGGCGTTTGAACATGGGCCTCAGGGTAAGGTCTGCTGGTTTAGGTCGAGGAACAACAGTGAGACGAGCCTTGCAGCTGTCATCACCGTACCTGTTACGGGCCACAACGCTGTACTCAGCATCATCACTTTCCTCAAGGCTGTGGATTATCAGCTGGTACAGACCCTTGTCGCTGATGAAGGTGTATTTCTTGTCATCGTGTCCAGGAATGAGTTTCTGTCCTGATTTGTGCCAGATGACACGAGGCTCAGGATGAACAGTGATGGTGACGCCGAAGCGGACGTCCTCACCAAGATAGGCTGTACGGTTGACCAGAGGAAGGGTGAACTCTGGTGGCTTCTGGAGCATTCTGGCAGTGTCAACTCTGCGCTTTGTTTTCTTGACCACACGGGTGGTGAAGAAGTCGCGGTAAGATCTAACACTGTTGATAAACAGCTCTGCGTAGGCACTGTCCTCACCGTACTCATTCACAATCTTGCATCTGTAAGTGCCATCATCTGCTCTTGTGACCTTGTTGACGGTGATTACAGCCAAGCCGTCCTCGTATTCAATCTCATATTTGTCACCAGCTTCAAGTTGCCTGACGCCACAGTACCACGTCACTTCAGTGGTGCTATCATAGTTTTCAATGTTGCAGGCGAACTTCACACTGTCTCCCTCATTCACCACTGCATGGCCAATCTGGCCTCCAACAGGACCATTTTCAAATGGAGCAATCTTCACCTTGGCAACAAAGACACCCCGCTGGGACCTGATGGAGCCGCCGCTGGCCACACGGGCTGCAGAGACCACAGCGGCCCACTCTTTCCTCACCATTGTCTGGTAGTATCTCTTATGCCTTCCGGTTGGGATTGCTCTGGTGCTTATCTCCTCAGCAGGCTTGGACAGCCAAGGATGCGCCAGAGCCTCAGCAGCAGTCATACGGTGCTTACGTTCCTTGGTCATTAGGCGGTCTGTGAAGTCTAATGCCTCAACACTGACCTGCTTGAAGGACTCATCGTCATAGCTGTAGGCTGCATTAGAGATGTTGTCAATCATCTGTTGGTTGGTTTCTGCTGTGAATGGATTAAGTCCACTGAGGAGCACATAGGCAAGGACACCAACAGACCACATGTCAGTGACAGAGCTAACCATGTCACACTGGTGGATCTCAGGGGCGGCATACTCTGCAGTAGTATACTGAATCTTGATCTGCTCTCCAGGTGTCAGGTGTCTGGCCTGGCCCAACTCAATAATTTTCACATTAGAGCTGGTTCTAGTTGTGTACACAATGTTCTCAGGTCTGATATCAAAGTGTCCGTAGCTCTCAGAGTGCAGGAGCTCAAGAGCTGAGCAGACCTGCCTGATGTAGTTGACAATCTCCCGCTCATTAAGCTCAAACTCAGCTGTGTTGAGGCGCTCAAAGATGTCAGCACCAGAGATGAAGTCATAGATCATCACCAGCTCCTCAGGACTGTCGAAAGACTCATGGAGGAGGAGGAAGTTAGTATGTTTGGCCAGATTCAGTGTTGCAATTTCCTTCTTGACTATTGCTTGATCTGCGCCTCTCACTTTGAAGAATTTAGCCATGTAGGTCTTCTCAGAACTGATGTCAACACAGCGGTGGACAATGCCAAACTGACCTCTGCTCAATTCCTCTGCAATTGCGTATTTGTTGTGCAGATTCTTAGCATCTGAGTGTGGAGCCTTGCCCCTAGGAACACGTCCAGTATCATCAACCTCCCTATCATACAGCAGAACTCTTGATTTGTCCTCCTTGGTCATGACCGGTCCACTGGTCTCAGATGGAGCACTCTGCCCGAACTTGTTCTCAGCGATGACTCTGAACTGATAGCCGGTTCCTCCAAACAGATTGATGACAGTGTAGCGGGTGTCACGGGACTGGGCAACACGCTGCCACCTCTCAGCAGTGGTGGGGCACTTCTCAATGATGTAGTTGATGACTCTGCTGCCGCCATCATTTGCTGGGGCCATCCAGTTCAGTGTGACCGAGTCCCTGGAGACGTCACTGGCTTTGACACCACGTGGAGGATCAGGCACGTCAGCGACATCCAGCTCAACTGTCTGCTGGTCAATGCCAAATCTGTTCTTGGCACAGACAATGTAGAAACCAGCATCCTTCTTCTCCACTCCGTTGGGGAACACCAAAGAAGTGAATGATCTAGTGACAATGACCTGGTAGTGGCCATTGCTGTCAATGAGATCTTGTCCCTTCTGCCATGTGATGACAGGATCTGGTTTGCCACTGAAAGGAATCTTGATATTGACCACTTCTCCACGCAGGGCAGGAATGGCTTCCTTGTCCTTCAGGTTCTTTGGCAGTTGGATCTTGGCAGGGACTGGAAATGAGAGAAAAAGTTTAAGTTAGATGTCATGTTTTATTTGAATTTAAAAAAGGTAAATAATTATTATATAAATAATAACATTGGTTTTGTAGAAGTCAGTGCTAGAAAACAGTGGTTGTTGGAAAAAAATCTGTGAGCTTACTTTCAACATCCAGAGATATTGTAGCACAGATGGATCCTCCCTGGTTGGTGGCCCTGATCTGGTACACAGTGGAGTCTTCCTCATCAGCGTCGGTGATGACCAGCTGGTGATAACCTCCCTTGAACTCCTGGATCTTGATCTTCTTTCCGTCAGAGTGGATCTCCTTTCCTCGTCTGAACCATTTGATTACAGGCTTGGGCTGTCCTGTGATCTTGCAGACAAGGGTGGCATTGCTCTTGTACTTGACACTCATGTTCCTCAGCTCTTCTTTGAAGGCAGGAGCACGGATCTCGACGGCTGTGGCTGGAACAATTGGAGCAGTTTCCTCGCTGTAGTCGCTCTGTCCTCCAAGGTTCTCGCACTTCACACGGAAGATGTACTCGATGCCCTCGGTCAGACGCTTGACGGAGAACACCGTCTGTTTGATCTCGTCTGTGGACACTGGAGTCCATTCGCTCCATTCCTTCTTGCCCTTCTTGTGCTTGCTCTCAAGGCAGTAGCTCTTGATTTTGGAGCCGCCATCGCTCAGTGGAGGCTTCCAGGAAACCACGCAGGAGTCCTTGGTGATTCCAGAAACAACTGGCGACAGGGGTGGTGATGGTTTCTCTGTGGACAGGAATTTATAAATCAGAAACCACTGTCAGTTCCACCGTGCGTTACAGTTCTACGATTACATTGTTACCATGAATTTAAGAAGTACTTTAAACATAAATTTATATTGAATTCAATATCATACCCAGTTGGCTCTTGATAAGGATAGGTGAAGTGAGCTCCAGTGGCTCGCTGTTGCCATAGCGATTCTGGGCGTACACACGGAAGAAGTATCCGGCGCTGTCGATGAGGTTTGGCACACGGCAAGATGTGCCATTGATCGATGATGACACCAGTTCCCACTCTGTGCCCTCCTTGTCCTCACGCTTCTCCACTATGTAGTTGGTGATCATACAGCCTCCGTCATCCTTGGGAGGCTTCCAGCTGATGATGACAGAGTTCTTCAGGAGGGCGTCCAGCACAATGGGACCCTGAGGAATGTCAGGTTTGTCTGGAAACAAAGGTATTAGATATACGTGTAAAATATTATATCACCTTCAAAACATGCTTTGTTGCGTGTCACTGCAGTAAGTATTCACAAACATACCGTAAATTTCAACATTGAATGCGGTGTCAGCCCTGCCGAAGTGATTGTGCAGTCTGATCCTGTATTTGCCTCCATGGACTCTGCGCTGCACGTTCTTGATGATCAGGTGTGTGTAGTGCTCGGTAGTCTCGATGCTGATGTCCTCTGTGTTCTCCAGGGTCTTCGTCCCATGCAGCCACATGATCTTTGGCTTAGGACGGCCGATGTAGACGGCATGGATGCGCAGAGTGCTTCCCAGGCCAGCATAGTACGTTTCCTTCAGTGGGTAGTCGGGATGGAAGGACGAAGCAGCCTCCAGCACCAGAATGCCTGAGGTCTCAGCTTCTCCGGCATCATTGATGGCCTTGCAGGTGTACTCTCCTTCATCCTCCTGCTGGTCAGTCATTATAGACAGGGAGTGGTTGCGGCCGTCAGAGCTCATCTCGTACTTGCGGGACTCAACAATCTCCTTGCCTGCATGATACCACTTGATGTCAGGACAAGGCCTGCCAATAATCTGGCACTTCATGACAGCAGGCTGGCCAAGTTTGGCAGTTACTTCATCCATTTCCTTTCTCAGGCTTGGTTTAGCTTCAACTGTAAGTACAAAACAACGAGGCATATTTAGTAAACACATGTATTACATTTAGCAGTGTCTCATAGTAAAGTCACTCTGTGCAAACAAATAATTTTCACACAGTATATGTCAGAGTACTCACCACTCAGTTTAGTCTTGATGCACGTGGCAGTCCTACGAGGTCTACTCATTCCTGTCTCATTCTCAGCAAACACTCTGAACTCGTACTCTGTAGCCTCAGCCAGTCCAGGTATGGTTAACTCCTTTTCCTTCAGCCTCTGCTTATTGCACTTCTTCCAAGTGCTCTCAATGGACTTCCTGTACTCCACCCAGTAGCCCAGGACCTCCTTTCCACCATCACACTCTGGAGCTTGCCAGCGGATGGTGATGAAGTTGTTTGTCACGTTCACTGTGTCAATCTCGCCTGGTTGGCTTGGCTTGTCTAGAAAGAAAGAAATATAAAAACAAGTTAGCTTAGTTAACAGTTACTGTTCTGGACAGTTCTGGTTTTGTTGTCTGTTAAACGCTGATTGATTATATTTCACATCTGATTGTCGACAACTATAATTATTACGGTGCTATGAATTAATAAGTAATTATAGTTATTAGGAGACCCACCGAACGGATCCTTGCATGTGACTGGGTCAGACACAGGACCAGCCTCGCTCTCGCCGATGTTGTTGACAGCAACGATGCGGAACTGGTAGTCTGCGTCAGGTGTGAGTCCAGGCAGAGTAAACATGGTGGAGCTGATCTTGGTCTGGTGGCGGGACCACGTCTCATCAGACACCACCTTGTACTCAATGAAGTAGCCAGTAATGGCAGAACCACCGTCGTCCTTTGGTCTGGACCAGGCTAATGCCACAGAGCTCTTTGTGACGTCCATGATCTCTGGTGGGGTGCTTGAAGGCTCAGGGGGACCTGGTTTAAAAAACACAGATGATTTTGAAGTCGTTAATGAATGATCTCATACTGTCTCATACTTAGAACTGAAGAACTGGAGTACTTACATAGGGGAGTCTTGGGCACCAGTGGCTTCTCTGACTTCAGAGAGGAGCTGATACCAAAGGAGTTTTCAGCCGTCACCTTGAAGTGGTACTCTGTTCCCTCCTTCAGTCCCTTGACAACCAGCTGAGTGTCAGTCACTCTAGAGTCCACAGTGTACCAGGCGTTTCTGGCTGCCTCGCGTCTTTCTATGATGTAACCCAGGATCTCTGAGCCACCGTCGTCCACGGGCACCTTCCAGGACACCTTCACAGAGTTGGCCTGGATCTCCTCAAAGACCAGTGGTCCCTCTGGAGCGCTTGGACGCCCGATGACCTTCACCTTGATTTGGGCCTTCTTCTTGCCAACCCTATTTTCCAGCAGGAGATCGTACACGCCAGTGTCGCTTCTCTCTGCTCCCTTGATCACCAGCTCGCTGGAATCCTCGGTGGAGGCAATCATGGCCTTAGTGGAGACTGCACCACCATCTTTCGACCACTTGCAGGTTGGGTGAGGTTTACCCTTGATGGGAATAGAGAGTCTAACCACTCCGCCGTGGCGGACCACGTACACATCTTTGTATTTGAGCTCCAGCTCATAGTCAGGAGATTCTGGAGAATAATGAAAGTGTTATTCTGTATTAGTTTTAAGCAAATGCAAAGGATCTTAGTGCAGGTGTAGATAATGTAACCTCTGTGTCCTTACCAAGCATCTCAGTTACAGTGACGGTTCCAGGTACTTCAGCAGGCTCTCCAGAGCCCCCGGCATTACAAGCCATCACACGGAATTTGAACTCCTCTCCTTGTGGCATGTTGGTCAGCGTGTACTCGCAGATTAGAGACGGTGTGGTGTTGCACTTGATCCAGGGCATGGTGCCCACCTTCTGCATCTCAATCAGGTAACCGTCCACCCTTGCGTCTCCCTCATCATCAGGAGGACTCCAAGCCAGCGACACAGAGGACTTTGTGGTATCGGTGATCCTCGGGTTCTGAGGACAGCCAGGTGGATCTGAGTGGGAAAGACAAGCACGTCAGTATTTCTAGCTGCTGCTGAGTCTGTGCCTGCTCTTTGAGACTTTCAATGCCATCCACTGAAGCCATTAATTCTTAATGTGATCTAAAAATCATATATATATAAATAAAAAATCTTTTTACAAACTGTTCTCTTACCGATGGGATCTGTTGCCACTGCTGGTTTGGATGGCAGACTTGGTTTGCTCAGTCCTCTGGCATTGATGGCGGTGATTCTGTGTTCGTATTCCAGACCCTCCGTCAGTTCTGTCGACCTGTATCTGGTCATGGTGACAGGGTTCCTGTTGGCACGCACCCATCTGTCAGATCTGACTTCTTTGCGCTCGATAATATATCCAGAAACCTCAAGGCCGCCGTCCTCATCTGGTGGGTTCCAGGCCACGGTCATGCCGTCACGAGAAACATCAAAGATGGTTGGACGGCCAGGAGGTCCAGGCACATCTATGGAGGAGGGGAAACATCTTACTCTACTTCTGTTGATGTAACTCTGTCTATATAGTAATATCGGCTAAACGTGTAACCTTAACCTTAAAAAAAGCCAGAAGTCTTACTTTTCAAGCTCTTGCAGGTGACGATCTCAGACTGCAGGAATTCTCCAGTGCCGTAGTTATTAATCGCAGCTGCACGGAAGACATACTCATCTCCCTCAATAAGGTTCTCAAACTTGAAAGTTGGTCGGCTAACAGAGTCGCAGACAGGCACCCAGCCAGGTCTGTGAGCATCACGCTGCTCCACCATGTAGCCGCTGATGGGAGCTCCGCCGTCTCTGACTGGAGGATCCCAGCTGCAGGTGACCGTGGTGGCATCAATCTCATCAAATCTGATGGGTCCCTTTGGTTCATCAGGTTTAGCTGGTAAAAGGGGATTAACAGAATTAATGCTTATAGCCAGCTTGATTGACCAAAAGGTAAATGTTAATAAAATAGTTAATAATAGGTATTGATTGTAATATTGTCAATTTATAAATGAATCAGCTTGACTTTGTTGTGTTATCCTGCTCTTGATAAGCATCAGCAATAAATAATGAAACTAATATAACAAAGAGGGATGGTTTCTTACAGAGGATGATGACCTTGATGACCTCGGTGATAACACCAACGGCGTTCTTCACCTCCAGTGAATAGTCACCAGTGTCATTGATGGTGGTGTCAGACACGGTCAGTTTGGAGAACTTTCCAGTGCTCTTGACCTTGATACGGTCTGAGAATTTGATCTTGTTATCGTTGAAGTACCAGGAGCAGACGGGAGGAGGCCTGCCGATGATGGGCAGATCCAGCTCCAGAGTCTTACCAGCCAGGACATTGACAACCTTCTGAGGAATACTGGAGAAGTCCACCACAGGCATTACTGGAAAGAAAAAAGAGAGATACATAAATCATCTAACTACAGTTTACGTCAACGGTTGGGAAATAAATTGTGAACTGAGCTGTGTTATACTAAATGTTACGGCTGAGCAAAAAATCTTCAACATGTACGGATTTCTGGAGCCAAGAACAGCAGCGTCACATTTTCCTTGATGTATTTGTAACTTTAACTGTCTGACTGCAGGAACTGTATTGCGTCTGTTACCTCTCTGCTCCTGTACAGTGATGGCCGTAACAAGCTCTTTGGGCTCGCTGGCTCCTCTACTGTTGATTGCTCTGATTCTGAACAAGTACTGCTCTCTCTCATTTAGTTTCTCGATGGTGTGTTCCAAGTCTGTGGTCTTCAGTGTGGCCACCTTCATCCACTTGTCTGTGCCAAACTTGCAGGCTTCGATTACGTATGCCGTCAGTCTGCTGCCACCATCATGCTCGGGCTTCTCCCAGCCCAGGGTGACTGTGGTCTTGGTGACGTCGATCACCTCCAGCTTGTGTGGCGGCAGAGGCACATCACAAACCAGGATGACATCGGGAGTCTCACAGGGCTCACCGACACCATAGATGTTCTCAGGCAGGACCCGGAAGTAGTACAGCATGCCCTCCATCAGGCCATCAATCTTGTAAGATGTCTTATTGCACTTGGAGGTGACGGTCTTGTAGGCTCTCATGGAGGCCTCACGCCTCTCAATGATGTAGTTGTTGACAGGAGCACCGCCATCCACGGTTGGGGCTTCCCAAGAGATGGTGATGGACTCCTTGGTCAGCTCTTTGATCTTTATTGGTCCAGTTGGTCCAGGAGTATCTAACAATGAAAATACATTTTGTTAAAATATAACGTCTATGTAATATGTCATAATTCAAATCAAATCTCAGACATTTCCATCAACCTACCATAGACCTTGACCAGAATGTTGACTTCCTGTTTCCCGGCAGAGTTCTCGGCCACCAGCGTGTACTTGCCGGCGTCGTAGCGGTGGACCTTATCAATGATGAGTGTGGTGGACGTGTTTGTGACTTCAATAAATCCTCTATTGTGGAGGTCAACACCAGGCTTAGTCCAAGTGAGGGCGGGAGCGGGACGACCGGTGACCTTTACTAACAGGCGGAGGGAGCCACCAGCGCGCAGGCAGATGGTCTTCTTCAGGTCATCGTGGAGCTCAAAGTCAGGAGTTTCTGTGTGAGAGAAGGGGATAATTAATGTATAGCTAATAATGTTTGTGGATATAAATGTTTCCACATGATGAAAGACTTGATAACACTGACTCCACTGTAACTGTTAATGTATTTGCAATCACCTAATGCTTTTCAGATGACTTACCAATTCTCTCCACTGGCTCAGTCTCAGTGCATGGTTCACTGAAATCTCCTGTACCGTTGATGTTGATGCCAGCCACTCTGAAGCAGTACTTCTTGCCTGCAGAAAGTCCGGTCACCACATACTCTGAAGCACGCAGTGTCTTTTCGTGGGCCTTCTTCCATTCCTCTGCTCCGGCTTCCTGCATCTCCAGGATGTAGCCAATCACATCAGCTCCTCCGTCGTCCACGGGGCGGGACCAGGCCAGGCTGATGCTGTCAGCGTGGGTGTCGGTTATACGAGGGATAGAAGGAGGAGCAGGGGTGCCTGAGAGGAGAGGAAACAGGTGTGAAGATCAGTACACATCAGTAAATCCTTTACCGGACATGATGTCACAAAAGACAGATCTAAAAATATCAGTCAGACCTTCTGTTGCATTTTATGTTAGGCGTTTAGACTTCGACAAAGCAGACTTACATGTTGGCACTCTGCAGATAACATACAGAGAAACCTCGCTGGGTTCGCTCTCTCCGGCCTTGTTAATAGCTGTCACTCTGAACTGATAGATGTTGCCTTCGGTCAAACCAGACACCTTCAGTGTGGTGTCCAGGTGAGCTCCGTCCCTGTTCACCTTTACCCAGCGGGCACTCTTTTTCTCCCGCCTCTCTACCAGGTAGTGGATCAACGGGCTGCCGCCATCGCTCTCTGACTTCAGCCATTCGATGGTGGCGAAGTCCTTTCCTGACACCAGGATCTCTGGAGCACCAGGAGGAGATGGCACGGCTGGAGTAAAGGAAAATAATTCAGTGTTAGAGGTTATGAAGAGTAATTTGTTGTTTTACTTTTAAATGTTAAAGTTTGGCTCTCAGTGCTCTCAGGCATACCTGTGCTGCTTTCATCTTACTGGTATTCTTGTTTAAAATAAAAGAGCAGCATCTGTTTGTCCTCAGAGATTTTTGGGATATTATACGTTTAAAGCATTGATGTTATTTCACAATGATTTGACTGTTTAACTTACTGAAAGTGTTTCTGGCAATCATGGGCTCTGACTGGAGGTAGACTCCAGCTCCGTACTTGTTAACACCCCGGACTCTGAACAGGTACTCAGTGTTCTTGAACAGCCTGGTGATGTTGCAGGTCAGCTCCTTGCACTCGGCATGCATGATGACCCAGTTCAGTCTGTTAGTGTCACGCCTCTCCACGATATAATGGGAGACCTCATCGCCGCCATCCTCAAGAGGATACTTCCAGCTCAGTGTGCATGACTCCTCTGTAATATTGCTGATCTCAATCTTGCCTTCACATACTCCCGGGGTGTCTGGTAAAAACAGATGTACTTATTACAATTCACTTTTGATAACTTTGACAAATTAATTCTTCAAGTATAATCTGTAAGGCATAAAATGTAAGCTCTCACTTACCAAGCACTTTGACGTTGACCTCAGCGGTCTTGGTTCCGCTAACATTCCTGACTGTGAGGATATACTTTCCTGTGTCATCTCGGTCACAGAACTTGATAATGGCCATTGCCCTGGTGGAGGTGTACTGCAGGTGGTACTTTTCACACAACTCCAGCTCCTTGTTGCCTTTGGACCAAGAAGCCTTGGGGTCAGGTCTGCCTCCCACTGCAGCATCCAGAACCAGGTCTGAACCAGCTCTGACTGTCACGGTTTCGGACAGGAGTTTGCTGTCCAGCTGGGCCTTTGGAGGCTCTGTTTGGTGAAAATAAAGGAAAAAGTCTATGAAGCAATATATTGATAAGATTTGACTCCTTTGTTGCACATAGAAATAAATCCACATCTACAGTAAACATTAGACAACTTCATCTTATCGTCATAATTGTTTAAGAATTGTTGAGGTCAGATGTGTGAAAGTGTGCTGTAAAGGCGGCATTGTATCACGATCACAGATGCAGATCTTACCAAAGTCGGTCTTGCACTGCACAGAGCCGGTGGACTCTGAGGGTTTGCTGTAGACCTGGTTGCCGTTCTTGCCAATGACTCTGAACTCATAGGGCTCTCCCTCTCCCAGGGCAGTAACAGTGTAGAAAGTGTCTGTCACATTGGTGTAGTTACACTTGAGCCAACGCCCCTCACCGGTCAAAGTGTACGGCTTACGCTCGATGATGTAGCCCACGATGGGACTGCCACCGTCGTTCAGTGGAGCGGACCATTTTAGAGAGACAGTGGATCTTGTAACATTTGTGACTTCGGGCTTACTTGGTGGATCTATAAAAAATATAAATTTCATCAGGTATGTTGGAGCAATGGAGCATCATGTAAAAAGAATAGTGTGATCATAAACTGTGTTAAAACTCACCAACTGGGTTTTGAGCAACTGCTCCCTTGGAGGCCTCACTAGCTTTGCTCAGCCCAGCACTGTTCATGGCATAAACCCTGAACTGGTACTCTAGGCCTTCGACCAGACCCTCCACCTTGTAGTAGCACTCAAAGCAAGGGATCTTGTTCTCCCTCACCCACAGGATATTGTTCCTCTCCTTCTTCTCAATCCAGTAGCCTGTCACCTTGCTGCCACCATCATGATAGGGCTCCTCCCATTTCAGGGTCATTGTGTTAGCAGAGACATTGAAAACTGAAGGCCTTGTTGGTGGGCCAGGAGGTGCTGTGATTTAAAAAGCAGATTTTATTGTTGAAGACAGTCAACTAAATTACATTCTGAATTAGCAGGAAATACACATTTTTACAGACTCAGAAATGTATTTGTGTTCATTATTATTGTTATTATGCTGAATAGTACTTACTGAAAGGATGCTCTGCGACAATAGTCTCAGACTCAGTGTACTTGCTGACACCAAATCTATTCTCGGCAGAAACCCTGAATGTGTACTGCATGTACTTGGTCAGGTGACTGACATGGAGAGATGTGCGTTTTACGCTGGAGTTGATCAGCTGCCAGGCGGTGGACCCAGACTCACGCTTCTCCACAATGTAGTTGGTGATGTCTGTTCCACCATCATCCTCTGGTGGTTGCCAGTTAATGATGCAGGACTCAGAGGTAATGGATGAGATTTCGATGGGTCCAGTTGGAGGACTGGGTCTACCGGTGACATTAACTTCAATAGCGAAGGTCCTGGTTCCTGCTACATTCTCCAGGGTCAGGTAGTATTTACCACCATCTCCTCTCATGGCCTCTTTGACGGAGATACTGGTTCTGTTCTTAGTTACTTTGATGGAGACTCTGTCTGAGCTCTTCAGCCTCATCTCCTCCAGCTTCCAGGTGACCTTAGGAGCAGGTCTACCGCTGATGGGAACGTCGATGGTGAAAGTACTGCCAGAGCTGCTTGTGATGATCTGGTTGGGGATCTCGCTGAGGTCAGCGGTTGGTTCAATATGAGGCTCTTTGACCAGCACAGGAGCTGGAGTTTCCCTGGGCTTGCTGTAACCGGCTTCATTCTTAGCCTTCACACGGAAGTCATACTCATCACCCTTGTTGAGCTTTTCAACCACATAGGTGAGATTCTTGGTGTTGCCAACCACTACCCATTTGTCTGTACCCTTTGGCTTGGCCTCAATGACATAACACTGGATGCGGCTACCACCATCATGCTCCGGTTTTAGCCAGCCCATAGACACAGAGTTGTCTGTAGTGTCCAGGATATCCATTCTCTTTGGGGGTGCTGGCTCTGCGGTGGCAATGACAGGCTCAGTCAGCTCAAAAGCCTCACCTATACCATGCTGGTTCTCGGCTGAAACTCTGAAGAAGTATGGCACTCCTTCCAGCAGGTCCTCGATCTTCAGTATATGCTGCTTGCAGTTGCCACCAGACTGCTGCCAAGTGCGGCGGCTAGCCTCGCGTCTCTCAACAACATAGTGATGGATCCGGGCTCCACCGTCATTGAGAGGAGGCTCCCAGATAAGTGTTACTGAGCCTCTGGACACCTCCTTGAAGGCAACAGCCTGAGGAGGTCCAGGTGTGTCCATCACCTTTACTGTGAATGTAATGGCCTTGCTGCCACTAGCATTCTCCAGGTTAACAGTGTATTTGCCAGTATCATATCTCGTGCAGTTTTCAATGCTAAGAGAACTGTGGTCATCTGTAGTTGTGATCTCTGACATGACACCGAGCTCTCCTTCTTCCTTCACCCAGGTTGCAGTGGGAATTGGCTTTCCTCTGAAGTAGATGCCCAGGCACACTGAACCTCCAGCCTTAACAATGTGTGTCTGCTTAAAGGTGGCGTCAATATCCACCTGTGGTGGTGTAAGCCTATCTACAGCCTGAGCAGGCTCCGGAGTCTCTTTGTCCTCGCCTCTGCCCACGTGATTGACAGCTGCGACACGGAACTTGTACTCAGCTCCTGTCTGTAGACCTGTCACAACGTAATTTGTTTCCGCCACCAGCTGCTCATTTACTCTCTTCCATTCTACCTCTTCTCCCTTCACCATTTCAATAATGTAGCCCAGGATATCCATGCCTCCATCGTCCGCAGGCCTGGTCCATTCCAGGCTGATTGAGGTGTTGGTGGAGTCGGACACACAGATCACAGATGGAGCACAAGGAATATCCTTTGGTTCGGCAGCCTTTATAGGCAAAGAGATGTTACTAGGTGCTCCAACACCAGCGTCATTCACGGCCATTACCCGGAACTCGTATTCCATATCCTCTGTCAGGTGGAGCACCTTGTGAGCACATTCAACAATAGGCTTCTTGGTAATCACCTTGTAGAACTTGACAGTCTTCTTTTCTCGTTTCTCCAGGATGTAATACTGAATGGGGTTTCCACCATCAGATGTTGGAGGAGTCCAGGACAGGGTGATGCTCTCTCCTGTCACCTCAGTAGCATCAGGAGTGCCTGGAGCATCAGGAGTAGCTGAGGGAAACAATTTTGATAGATGAGTGCATTTTTCCAGTCTTAAATATTAAATAAAAAAGACTTTCCAACTTTCCACTTACTGTATTGCATCTGTGCAATGATGGGGCCAGATTCCAAAGGTCTGCCAACTCCAAACTTATTAACAGCAGAGACCCGGAACTGGTACTCATTGGTCTTAATGAGCTTGGTTGCATTGAAAGTGCACTCCTTACATTCATCAGACACCAAAGCCCAGGAAATCTTGGTGGTCTCACGCTTCTCAATGATATAATGAGAAATTTCAGAGCAGCCGTCCTTCTCTGGTGGGTTCCAAGACAGAGTGCACTTGCCCTCTGAGATGTTACTGAAAGTGATGGGTCCTACTGGCTCCCCAGGTGTGTCTGCATCATGTACAGTAGGTGTGTTAGATGAAGAGGTCAGAACATAAATATATAAATACAGTGGTGTCAATATAAAGAGAAACATTTCAAAACTGCGTACCTTGCACTTGAACAAGGATGTTCTCCTTCTTGCTTCCAGATCCATTGGTAGCCTCCACAGTGAAGAGGCCACTGTGTGTACGATCAGCGTCCCTGACAAACAGGGTGCTGGATCCAGCTACATTGATAATGTCCATAATTTTTTTGGTAATTTCCACACCGTCTCTGTACCAGACGACCTTGGGAACAGGACGTCCAGTGATGGTCACCTTCAGACGAATTTTATCTCCTGCCTTGACTGTCAAACCCTCAAAGTACTCTGGGCCAAACTCAATATTTGGGGCAGCTAGATTAGAGGAAAAGGGAATGCATTAGTATACAGCATGAAGCTTTAAAACACTGAGCTTAAAACTTACATCATTTCATGGAACTGGTACTCAGCTTAAACGTCAGTCCTGAAGTTTAAAATGCTAATATTACAATCACAAGCAACCTTCTCTACGCTCAAAATTCTTGGATTACTCACCGTTCTCACTCCTGACCACAATCAAGCCAGAGGAGTTGGAGGGAGGGCTGACAACACCAATGGCATTTCTGGCAATCACTCTGAACTCGTAGCGTTCATTTGTCGTCAACCCAGTGACAGTGTACTGGCAGTCCTGTACATCAGTCAAGTTGGCCTTGAACCAGCGGCCATGTCCTTGGCGTTTCTCAATGCTGTAGTTGGTAATCTTGCTACCACCATCACGTTTGGGTGCATCCCATTTCAGTGTCACTGAGTCACTAGTCACATCAATGTAGTCGGGCTGGCCAGGAGGATCTGAATGACATGAGATACATCTTTTAACTTGTTTTTCTTTGACTAAACCACTTATTAAGTGGTTTCATCCAAACTAAATGTTAGTCAGGGTTTAGAGCAGAAATGATTTAACTAAACATATTATAGTTCTAATTGGATGTATGCAAATATAACAAGGAAGCAGAATAATGTAATTGTCTGAATCAGCACTCACCAACAGGGCTGACAGCCATGGTTGGCTTGCTCTCATCACTCATTCGACTGAAGCCAGCATCATTCTGGGCATAGACTCTGAAGGAGTACTCCAGGCCTTCAATGAGTTCCAGGATCCTGTATTCTGTTTCTTTGATCAGCACAGTGTTCACCTTTTGCCACATGATGCTGTTCTTTTCCCTCTTCTCCACATGGAAGCCCTGGATGGGGGTTCCGCCGTCATAGATGGGCTGCTCCCACTGGATGGTCATACCGTCATTAGTGATGTTGTACACAACAGGCTTGCCCGGTGGGCCTGGAGGCCTGAATTGGTGTTTGGCAATGACCATCTGTGAGACTAGAGGCTCACTGACACCGTATCTGTTCTCAGCACACACTCTGAACTGGTACTGCACACCCTTGATCAGATTGGGGACCTTGAACTGAGTGCCCTGTACATTGGAGCAGGCCATCTTCCAGTCAGACTTAGAGGTATCACGCTTCTCCACAGTGTAGCAGGTGATGTCTCCACCGCCATCGTCGTTTGGTTCCTCCCAGGAGATCATGATAGCTTCAGCTCTCACTTCATCCAGGCGTATGGGTCCAACAGGCTTTGATGGTGGTCCAAGTGTGATGACATGGATGTGGAAGGATCTCCTGTTGACCCTATTGTCAAGGGTCAGGGTGTATTTACCCTCATTCTCCTTCTTCACATTCTTAATAATTAGAGTGGCTTTGTTTTCTGTCTTCTTGAAGCGGACCTGGTCACTCTCCTTCAGAGGCAGGTTGTCCTTTAGCCACAGTACAGAAGGCTTGGGTTTACCTTTGTATGGCAGCTCAATGTGCACATTGTGACCCAGGCGAACATTTATGGTGCCATCTGGGTAATCTGCAAGGCTTGCCTCTGGTGTTATAATGTAGTCAATGACCTTGATAGGCCCAATCTCAACAAAGTCGCCCTGTCCCTTCTCATTCCTGGCGGCAACTCTGAAGAACACGTTTGAATGCTCCTTGAGTTTCTTGACCTCAAACTCACACTGTTTGCTGGTTCCTCCTAATGACCATTCCTCCTCCTTGAGCTTCTTCTCAATTATATAGTCTGAGATGATGCTGCCGCCATCATAATCGGGCTTCAGCCACTGCAGAGTGACAGAAGTCTTGGATGAATCCTTCATAGAGACCTCCTTGACTGGTCCTGGAGTCTCTGTAGCCTTCACAGGCTCAAGTGTCTCACACGGATCACCAACACCGTTCTCATTCTCTGCTAACACACGGAAGAAGAAGGATGTTTTCTCAGAGAGGTCTTCAATGGTGTATGTTGTTTCTATGCATTTGCTTGTCACTGCAGAATAGGATCTCTTGGAGGAGTCCCTCTTCTCAACAATGTAGTTTGTAATCTCAGCACCGCCGTCGAGGAGTGGAGGCTCCCAGCAGAGAGTGACCCTTCCACGGGTCACGTCCTTCAGGACCAGATTTGTACACTGAGCTGGAGTATCCTGGACCTTGACAGACAGGGTCAGTGTCTTGGGCTCTCCCACACCATTCTCTATCTTTACTGTGTACTTTCCAGTGTCGAGCCTGGTCACCTCCCGCATAACAAGGACTGTGGTCGTGTCTGAACTGTGGAACTCATATTTGGGATCACGATCTATGCATTCTTCTCCCTTGCTCCAGGAAGCAGTAGGAGCAGGTCTGCCCTTCAGAGGAACAGACAGCTCCACATCCTTGCCAGCCTTCACGATGTAGTGACTTCTCATTGCCACATCTGAGTCAATCTGGGCCTCCTCTGTGAAAATCATAAAAAAATATTCAAGGTCACACAGGGACAGCTGTATGTGAGCACAGTAAGAACAAATGAAGACATATGTGTTGGAAACCAAACACACTTCACATTTTCAACCTCAGTGATTCATTTACCTAGGATATCCTTTGCCTGCACAGGCTCAGTCATCTCCAGAGGCTCTCCACGGCCAGCACAGTTGACAGCAGAGACTCTGAAGAAGTAGTTGACATCTAATTTTAAGTCATGAACTGTGTACTCTGTTGTCTTGACCTCTCCCTTGGAGGTGATCATAGCCCATTCTTGCTCTCCCTCAACAAGCTTCTCAACCATGTAGCTGGTGACCTCACTGCCTCCGTCCCATTCAGGCTTGGACCAGCCCAAGGTGATGGACGTCTTGGTGGAGTCCACCACCTTCAGCTTGCAAGGCTCATCTGGTGGATCTGTAAGTAAAATGTACGTGTTAGGTGGGGGTGAACATTTACCTTGATTTTGCTGGAAATCTGTGAATGTTACCACTTACCAACTGGATCAGCAGCCTTGTAGTAGTCTGATGCATCAGAGAACGGTCCCTCTCCAGCCTTGTTAATGGCACAGACGCGATATTGGTATTCATTTCCTTCTGTCAGATGGTAGACGGTCTGTTTGATGTCCGTGACAGGGTCTTTGTAAACTTTGATCCAGCGTGAGCTCTTCTTGTCGCGTCTCTCCAGGTAGTAGCCCGTCACAGCGCTACCTCCGTCTACACCTGGTTTGTCCCATTCTACCACCATGGTGGACTTGGTAATGATATTCACCTCAGGAGTATGAGGTTGCCCAGGAGTTACTATAGAAATGCACAACAAATATGTTAAAAAATTCTAATAATAACAGTAGTAACCATCTTGCTGAAAATTTAAAAGAGTATGAAAAACAATAAAAAGACAAGTGATAATTGCTGCATTTTTGTGTGTAAACCCAAATAACTAGACAACTGTAGAAGCTCAGACATGCTCAACAGCTCCAAACTTACCAAAGGCATTCTTAGCTATGACAGGCTCCGACTCCAGTGGCTCTCCAACTCCAAACTTATTAACACCCATTACACGGAACACATACTCATTTCCGCGCACCAGCTTCCCGACGGTGATATGTGTCTTCTCGTGCCTGTCTGAAACTGTCGACCAGACCACGCGGCTGGTTTCACGCCTCTCAACAATGTAGTGGGTCACTTTAAAACCTCCCTGGTCAGACTCGGGCACAGGTTCCCAGCTGAAGATGATCTTGTCTGCTGTAATGGAGTTGAAGTTAATCATCCCTGCTGGGGGTCCAGGTTTGTCTAAGGGGAGGGAAAAAAGAAGAGAATATGAACTATTAATATGGGGATGATGGAAGACTGTATTCTAAAAGAGAAATTATGGACATAGTAAGAGGTGGAACAAGGCTTTTTAGTTACCTAAGATTTCAATCCTGATGGTTGCAGATGCTGAGCCCAGAACATTCTTGATCTTGATCTCATATGAGCCTGTGTGAAGGCGAGCTGCATCCTTGATCAGAACAGCAGAAGAGTCAGTTGTGTTTTCAGTAGACATGGTAGAGGTTGCTACCAGCTCCTTTCCATCCTTGAGCCACTCAATGGTTGGTAGAGGCTTGGCAATGATTCCAACTCTAAGCTTAACTGAACTTCCAGCCTTGAACTGAACCACGTCCAGATACTCTGGAGGAAGATCAATGGCTGGGGCACCTGTGGAACATGACATATTATTATCAGTTATAGCTATCAAATCA